AGATTTTTTTCATCTACTCGTGCTGGAAATCCAGTGCTAGTTCTCCTTAGCCGTATCAAGCTTGTAAACACAGGTTTATTTCCAGGCGGGCTGATAAGAACCCCGTGCGCTGCTGTATTAAACGCTCAGTAAACAGACCACAGGCTACTATCCCGCTTTGATACGTCCCATAAACACACAGTTCTGCTCGCCGTTAGCTTATCATAAATGCTGCAGTTCCAGTATCATTATAGGTCAAGTCAGCTTCATTTATATAGCGCTTTTAACAATATAGATTGTTTCAAAGCAGCTTTACAGTGAGTGATAATAGGAAAGTTTTGGTTTTGGCTTTACAGCAGCTCTAGAATAAAGTTATTGCCCAGCTAAAGTTATTTATTTTATTGGTTAAAGTGGCGCTCTTGAATCGGCCTCGGCTGTGTCTCTAGTTACCGGAGTAAATGGCACAGCTAACCGATGCGAGCTAAATCACCTCAGACAAAAACGCTGCTGAATCTTTCAGGAATTGAAATGCTAAACGCCTGGAGCTGCAGCGAGTCTGAGTTTACAGTCGGGAGAATAGCTGTTCACTCGCTCAGAAACTCATCTGACGTTTCAATGCTCAAGCTGAGCTGGTGCACGACCTTCCCATGCCTGTAAATAAGTCTTCAATCCCTCTTTTATTCGCGTCTTTCTCTCTATCTGGTTGTGTTTGGCTCTTAAATGCTGGGTGGATTCTGTAGGCATGAGCTGGCACATATTCTCGCCCTCTCTCTCTCTCTCTCCATGTTTCCCTGTGGAGGTGCTGTTGGCAGAGTGTGTGTGTGTGTGTGAGCTGTTGGCAGAGTGTCGGGATGCTGGTACCAGCCGGGAGAGATCAGGGAGCGAGTCCTCGCCGCATGCGACCACTTCACACTGACACCAGATTCACACACACTCGTGAACCTGCTGAGGCCTCCTCATGCTCAGTCGTTACAACTCCATGATATTGAGTGAGCCAGACAGCTTTCCGTAGCTAATTCATTGGTTTGGATATTTTGGGTGGTCGCTAGGGTGTTGCTTAGCAGGTAACTAGGGTTGTTGATAAGTGGCTACAAAAGGGGTTCTGGGTGGTCGTTAGGGCATTGCTAGGTGGTTGTCATGGGGTTCTGGTTGGTCGCTAGGATGTTTATTAGCAGTTACTGGGGTGTGCTTGGGTGTTGCTGAGTTACTAGGGGGTTCAGGATAGTTACTAGATTATTGTTAGGTGGTTATGCTGTTGCTAGGATGTTGCTAAGCATTTACTATGGTGTACTGGGTGGTAACTAGGACATTGCTAGGAGGTTGTTAGGGAGTTTTAGATGTTTTCTAGTAGGGAGTTGATTAGTTACTAGGGCATTCTACGTGGTTACTAGGGCATTGCTAGAGGATTGTTAGGGGGTTCTAGGTGGTCACTAGGGTGTTGCTAGGTGGTTGTTAGGGGGTTCCGGTTGGTCGCTAGAGTGTTGATTAGCTGTTACTAGGGGGTTCAGGTTAGTTACTAGGGTATTGCTAGATGGTTGTTAGAGGGTTCTGGGTGGTAGTTAGGGTGTTGCTGAGTTACTAGGTGGTACTGGATAGCTACTAGGGTATTGCTAGGTGATTGTGAGGGGTTCTGGGTGATAGCTAGGATGTTGCGAAGTTACTAAGTGGTACTGGATAGTTACAAGGGTATTGTTAGGTGGTTATGCTGTTGCTAGAATGTTGATTAGCAGTTACTATGGTGTTTTAGGTGGTGACTACATTGCTGGTGGTTGTTAGGAAGTTTTAGATGTTTTCTAGGGAGTTGCTTAGGGCATTGCTAGGTGGTTGTTAGGGGTTCTGGGTGGTCACAAGGGTGTTGCTAAGCAGTCACTGGTGGTTCTGGGTGGTCATTATGGTGTTGCTAAAGGGTTGCTTGGGGTTCTGGGTGGTAGCTATGGTGTTACTAGGTTACTTGGTAGGTCTGGATATTTACTAGGTGGTTGTTAGGGGTTCATGGGTGGTCACCAGGGTTTTGCTAGGTGATTGCTAGGGGCTCTGGCTGGTTGCTAAGGTGTTGCTAAGTTACTAGGTGGTACTGGATAGTTTGTAGGGCATTTTTAGGTGGTTAAGCTGTTGCTAGGATGTTGCTTAGCAGTTACTAGTGTTCTGGGTGGCTACTAGGATATTCCTAGGTGGTTGTTAAGGAGTTTTAGATGTTTGCTGGGGAGTTGCTTAGTTACTATGGAATTCTGGGTGGTTAATAAGGCATTGCTAGGAATTGTTAGGGGGTTCTAGCTAGGTGGTCTCTAGGGTTGTTGATAAGCAGTTACTAGGGGGGTCTGGGTGGTCACTAGGGCGTTGCTAAGTTAATAGGGGTTCTGGATGGTTATTAGGGATTTGTTATGGGATGTATAGGGGGCTCTGGTTGGTTGCTAGGGTACTAGGCCGTTCTTGGGATATTAGAGTATTGCTATTGAGGGTTCTAGGTGTTCTCTAAGGTGTTGATTAGCAGTTACTTCTGGGTGGTTACTAGTGCATTGCTAGAGGATTGTTAGGGGTTCTGTGTGATCTCTAGGGTGTTGCTAAGCAGTTACTAAGGGTTCTGGGTCGTTAGGGCATTTGCTGGGTGGTTGATGGGATGTTATAGTTGGTTGCTAGGGAACTTGACAGTGTTAGGTGGTTATTTGGGTGTTTTGAGTGGTTGTTAGGGTGTTGCTAAGCATTTACTGTGGTGTTCTTTGTAGCTACTAGGCTGTTGCTGGTTTGTGCCTCTGTGTGGGAGATGAGTATTAATGTGTGTATCCGTGTTTCATTACACTTTAAAGAGACGGACTACAGAGCAATTTTACAGAAGCCAGACATTTCCTGTCTGAGCAGGATTAGAGACGGCATGAAGGATACTAAAAGACAGACCACCCACTGAGAGAGAGAGAGAGAGAGAGAGAGAGAGAGAGAGAGGAGAAGTTCAGTAAAACAATGAAAGGATGAAGCTGCTGATTACTATTCCGAGAGTGTTTTGTTGGTGTGTCTGATGGGTGGCTAGTGCTGGGTTACAAAAAAAAACGTTCCTTACCAGCACTCAGCCACGGCATTAATATTCATATTCTCATCTCCTTTGTAAAGGACACACAGTCTGTCTAATAAACCTCTGTTTGTCATTTCCCATCCGCATGCTCTGTGTGTGTGTGATGACTTCACTGACTGTAGTGTTTCTCTTGTGTATATTTTTCAAATATTAGTGCATTATAGTATTTTACTGTGCATGTGCATGAAGGAAAGGTCAGGATTTGTTTGATTGTCAGCACATTTAGTGTATTTAAGTATTGTTCTTTGTGTTAGAAGAAGGGTGGAGAGACATAATCAAACATTTCATGTTAACCAGAGTCAAAATTGATGTTTCTAATACAGTAAACTAGTATGCAAGACAAGGCCTGCGTCCGAAATCACATACTCTCTTATTTTCAATAAGTAATTACTTCACGACCACTAAAAAAAAGTATGTATATAGTATAAATGTGTTTAGTAAGAATGTAATCTGGAAAAACTACATTCGCCATGTTGTCATGATCATGTGACCTACCAGAATCAGTTACGTCGCTTCACTGCCATTCATAAATCCTCTCCTGTGGCCTCATGGGATCGTAAAGTGTCAATCATATGCACACTTCAGAATCTCAGCGAAAGTAGCAGTCTTTTATGAGTCCTGTGAAATCGGACATACATCTTTTGTCACATACTGTTTTTCGCTTACTATATAGTAGGGCTGGGTATTGACACAAATTTCACAATTCGATTCGATTTCGATTCACAAGCTTGCAATTCGATTCGATTTCGATTCAATATTGATTATTTTGGATATCAGGTACAATACATGGCAAATTTTCTCAAGGAAAACAAATCTCTTAACTAATGCTGTAAACTATGGGAGTCAGTTGTAGCCTATAGGCTCCATTAGCCTAATATAATATTGAAGGTAAAAATTAACTGATTTGTAGCTATACAAACACTTAAATTACACTTTTATTTATTTTTATAATAATAAAGTTATATGAAATATAAACATTTAAATGGTGGCTGTCATACAAACTTGCCAGATTTATTCAAACATGAATTAAATATCAAAGAACATTAAACATTATAATGAATATGTAATATGGTGCATATTTTTGGAGTTTATTTTTCTAGCTGATAACGAGTTTATGGTCACATATGGTTTTTCTGAGGTAAATGTGACGTTACATGACATTGTTTACAAGTTGTTTTACTGACGTCTTTCCTCGGATGAAACACTGATTGAGCGACTCCATGTGACATGATACGGATTTCGATAAGTTGTACTCTATCTTTTAACACACTTTCAGACGCTAGTTCATGTTTATTTCGCGCTGTAACTGGTATTATTAAGGCAGAAGAGGAGATCATGTGCTTCTCTTGAGCTGAGCCAGAGCGATCTCACGCCACAGCGCCAAAACGGTATTTATGTTTTTGAATTTTGTAAGAAAATGGACGTAATTTGAAATTTGAGACTTTATTTAGTATCAATAGTAACAAAGCACAAAGAATATTGCGATTTATTGGATGGGATGCGCGCTACAATGTTCCATTCATTCATCAAATGAAAACAGGATGACTAATCGATTCTTGAGATTTAAGAATCAATATCGGTTCATAAAAATGAGAATCGATTAATATCGAGAAATCGATATTTTTTACCCAGCCCTACTATATAGTACTAGGGAAGTATGCGATTTCGGATTCAGCCAAGGTTTTATGGCATCTGCCCCGATGCTGTACTGTTTTAGTACACACTCAAAAGTGTTTACTTTCCCATTGTCAGTGAAGTACATGCTTTTAGTGCGTAGTTTAGCTGTGGGAATTGAGACGCAGCCCGTGTTGTGTTTATAATTAGGGCCCAAGCCCTGAAAGGGTGAAGGCCCTATTGTTTTCCTAAGGATTATTTATTATTAGGGCCCGTCATCGCTGCTCGCAGCTATATTTCTCTCATTGTCCTCTTCTCTGTGTTTGTTCTCTCTGTATCTCAGGATGTTGCGTGCGAGCGCTGGTGGGCTGCAGGTTCTGTCGGTTCTGCTGGTGTTTTCAGCTGGCTGTGGTGAGTTCTGGTTCACTCTTTCTCTCTCAAAAACATTCAAGCCAAAATCGGGCCACACACAAGTAATGAGCCGCTCACACAGGACATGTTCTCGCATTCAAAAGCAACATGACGTCAACAGATGCACAAGTCATAAACCTGTAAGACTTTCTTTTTTCTAGGGATGCACCGATATGAACATTTTGGTCGAGACCGATAACCGATAATTCTTTAAATTTGAAAGCCGATAACCGATATATTGTCCGATAAATCTAAATCCAAATTTGTATATATAATTTATATTATATTATATAATATTTATATAATTTATATAAACATTAACATATATCTGCTGATACCGATAACCGATAATTCTTTAAATTTGAAAGCCGATAACCGATATATTGTCCGATAAATCTAAATCCAAATTTGTATATATAATTTATATTATATTATATAATATTTATATAATTTATATAAACATTAACATATATCTGCTGATACCGATAACCGATAATTCTTTATATTTGAATGCCGATAATTAATATATTGTCTGATAAATCTAAATCCAAATTTTTATATATGATTTATATTATATAATATTTATATCATTCATATAAACATTAACATATCGGCTGATATGGTGGCCGATATATAGCGTATCCCTACTTTTTTCAGCGCAACATTAAAAGATATTTGGAAAGATTTTGTGTTTTTGTTTGTGTATTTTGGGGTCCAAAATTGTTTGGACTTTTTTTTTATACGTTGCGAAGAAGAAAGCCATACAGGTTTGGAATGACATGAGGAAGTGTAAATGATGACAGAATGATCATTTTGGCTAAAATATCTATTGATGACCCCGTTATCCACTGAGATTAAGATTGAGTGTTCAACACTGAATAGAGGTGTTTCAAAATGTTTTATGATCTGATCATTTAAACCACAATCTAGTGTTACTTTTGTGCAGTCTCAGTCCTGTGTCAAATGCCCTTGTTAGTTTTGTCATATCTTGTCCTGTTTTTAGACAAGTTTTATTAAGTTTTTATTTCGTTTTATTAAGTCTGGGTATTTTGGTCTAGTTGTGGTCAATAAAAACGTATAGTTTTAGTCATACTAAACTGTTGGTAACATGGGGAACACATATTCACTAATAACTATGACTTTTGCCTCAATAAACTCCTAATTTCCTGCTTATTAATAGTTAAGGTAGTTTTTGTAAGGTTTAAGTTTAGGAATTGGGTTGGATTAAGGGATGTAGAATATGATCATGCAGTATAAGGCATTAATATGTGCTTTATAAGTACTAATAAACAGCCAATATCCTAGTAATTTGCATGCTTATAGGCAACTAGTTAATAGCAAGAATTGAACCCTAAAACAAAGTGTTACCGAAATGTTTTTACTAGTTTTAGTTTTAGTGAACAATAATAACCCTGTACCACAATTGGAAACACGTTTGAAAACGTGTACATATACAACAAAAATTCTAAAAGTCCTCCCGTAGTCAATAATTTCATCCCTAAAAATTCATCTTTGATCACCAAAATGACACATGTTTTTTCCTTGAAAAAAAAATTCTTTATGCCATAAAATATCTTGAATGTAACTCGACACCCTTGCCTCATTTAGTATGCGCGGTTCTATGAATATGCAAATGAGCCCCGCCTCCACTCACTCACTCAGCTCAGAGATCCACTGGTTGACGGTCACACGTTGATCTGATTGGTTACAAGCTCGTTTGTGACGTCAGAAACACCAGCGATTTCAAACCGTGTTTTTGAGACTGTCTTTTGTTTTAAGCAGAAAATACTCAGCAATGCTGTCGACTTATGAACTTACACATGGTTTGTCTTAAAGCGTATTAAAAACACCACATAGACACATAAACAACATTAAAAGCTGGATTTTCACCACAGGGGGATATATATATATATATGGCCTGAGCACATGTAACCCACCCGTCACCTCAGCCAAAGCCCTCCTATCGCTTAACCCTCTGGGGACCAGAGTGTTTTTGGGGCCCTTGGGATGTTTTGACATGCACTGACATTTGTGCTTTTTTCAGTTATTTATAAACATGTTAATGGCAAAGGTGTAAATTCACTCTATATAGCACAAACTTGGCTACCATGAGATCTGAGCAACATGTATGTACATGTTTGTATTTTTAATAGAATAATGTTTATGCGTGGTTATTGAAAAAAATAAAAATGAAAGTTGCTGAAATAAGACCACAAAACACATATTGATTATTTCTTCACAAGACTTTTGAAAATTGTATCACATAGCCTAGAATATTTGCTCCAAAACTATGTGAGAATCATCCTGACTACTCATTCAGATAAGTCAATAAAGTCTTTTACATTTTTAATGACGTGTTTTGTTTGAGAAAGCTTTATGCAGGAGGCTTGATCTCTCATTAATATGTATGGCATTCCACACCTGAGAAAGACAAAGACCCTCCCATAATGGCCCTATTAGGTGCTATCAGGCCATATCATTACAGGAGCCTTGCACAAAGAATGAGGAGATTTAAAAAAGAATGGCTTTTAGATTGTTTGGATATTATAAGGAAAATACAGGGTGCATACGTCTGGACACTTCTATCACACACCCTTCACCATATAGACATGGTTTTATTTCAGTTCAAAGTTAGAGTTGGAAACATCTTGAAAAGAAAATTGTCTTTCTCCATAAATGTCTTAGTTTGATCATACATATTTCAAAGTTGAGGATTCATTATTTTGATATAGCTTGAACAAACACTATAACATCTTAGTTGATTAGTTTATTGACAAAACATACTATATATTTAACATATGAGCAGAAACTCCTAAAAAAGCTTATTTGATGTCTATTTTAGAGTAAAAACTTTATCCAAAACGAGTCAACGAAATGTTGTCTGTTATTTAGTCTGTAACAGTGCGTATCTGTGCGTTCATTCATTCATTCACACACACACACACAAACTGTGTGACACAAACATGATTCACATTTAACAGTATGCTATTTTTCCGTTTACAGACACTACGTTATTCTATATCGCGATTAGAACAAAGCACTTGCAAAAAACACTTACTTCTCAGCTGAATCTGTTCATCCTCGAAGTGAAAATAACCCAGTGGTAAATGTCCCAGGATTGTTCCACATATAGCCGCGCAAGACGACAGTAGATTAATCTGACTAAAAAATAATGTGTGTTTTCAGAGTTTATGGGCGTTAACGCGTCTCAATGTGTTGCTTCACATATTTGCGTTTGAATAGCGCGTGCTCTCCGTAGGCGTGTCACATTACCACAGATAATCAGCTGAGAGAACGATAATGAGATGGGCTGACACGTCTCTCTTTTTATATAGATGACATAAACGGAGAATAATAATTTTAGTTTTGAATCGGATCATTTAAAAGTACAAACTCAAATGATTTAAAAGATATATTGCTTATGGCTGGGTGAATAGTATTAGCTGAGTTGTGTTGAAGATTAGAGACGTGCTCCAGAAAAAAAGTTCACGGTGACCGAGAGGCAGAACGCACACCCTGTTTATTTTCTTTATTTTACAAAAGCACAATATTTTATTTCGATTGTATGTGGGCACATAAAAAAGTAGACATTTAACAGATTATTTTCTCATATTTCTTAACTCTATATGAACAGAAATGATGGTAGTACTTTAAGTCTATTTTTCTGCTATGTGAAAAAAAACGAGCAAAACGCGCCGGCGCGTTTCTGGTCCCCAGAGGGTTAACTGGATCAGTGTGTGTGTGTGTGTGTGTGTGTGTGAGCAAACACAAAATGCTTCATAGGCCAAATGTTTTCACTGGCAGCTTCAGTTTCGCTAGGCTCTTTAGCGATGGGTGGCCGTTCTGAAGGATGATGGGAAATCACTCCCTCCTGCCAGGACGATTTACGACCCTGTGAATTCAGACCGGCCCTCTTTACATCCGACCTCAGGATACACGAGAGGAGCTTGCTGCTATTTACTAAGAGTGTTAGGCTGCGAGTTACATGTAAAAACTGCTGACTTGAAGCGATAAACCTATGCGATAAAATTAACACGTTTCAAAATAAGTGTGAAAATGCACAGAAAAGGCAAATATTGTGCAGTTTTTATTGGTGCTTCTTGCCAGCTGAAATAAAAAATGCTTATTATCCCATGATTTAGTCACGCTCAAGCCATACTAGGTGTACAGGACTTTCTTCTTTCAAACGAGCACAATCAGAGTTATATTAAATATTAATATAATATTTAATATCATATAATATGTGTCATTTGAATTAGTTTTTTTTAAATATTTATATTTAGCTTTAATACCATTATAGTGTTTATTCATATTTGGAATTACCTTTTTTTGTATATTTTCAGTTTTCATTTCAATTTTAGTCATTTTGTTACATTTTAAATATTTCTGTTTAACTTTAATACTAGTATAGTACTTTTAATTTTATTTTAAGTTTTAGTCATTTTTATGTACATTTGTAAATTTTAATTTATATATAATTTATATATTTCAGCTTTAATTTATATTTATTTCTGTTTTAGTCACTTTTTTAATGTATTTTAATATGTTACTTGCCATTTATATGTAGCTTTAATAGTATTTATTCATGTTTGGAATTGTCTTTAATTTTTAGTTTAGTTCTTTCTTTTTTATATATTTCTGTGTAACTTTAATACTATTATAGTACGTTTCATTTTAAAAACAATATTTCTGTTATCTTTAATAATGTTATAGTATGTTTAATTTTAGTCAATTTTATGTACATTTGTAAATTTTATTAGGTTTTTAATATTTAAATTTCGCTTTAATTTATATTTATTTTAGTTTTAGACACTTTTTTTAATGTATTTTAATGTTTACTTCAATTACTTGCCATTTATATTTAGCTTTAATACTATTATAGTATTTATTCATATTTGGAATTACCTTTAATTTTTAGTTTAGGTCATTTTGTTAAATGCCTTTTCTTTCTTTTTCTTATATATTTTTGTCATAACTTATTTTTATAGTATAGTATAGTA